GAACATTGGTAGAGTAATAAACAGTTGATTGATAACATATAATGGGCAGTCCTTAGTCAGTTGAATTAGGAGTGGTTAAGGGTTTGGTTAATTTTAATTTTTAATTATGACCAGTATAATTGAAAGTAAATGTTGAGGTGTTGAAATACGGGCTTAACAGTAACCTTCACACAGTACTCGGGAAATTAGACACCAATGATTCCTTCCAATTCTAGGAATTAGAAACCAATGATTCAATTCTAGGATCTAGATCTAATAGACTGTTTTGTTAGGCAACAGACAAATTTAGTGAAAATATTTTTGTTATTAATTCAGTTATTTACCGCCACAAACTTATTAGACACTAATATGTATTGTTATAATCATCTGATCAATTGATACTGACTGTTTTTAAAAGATTTTAATAAAGATAATTATCCATGTAATGCTCTATAACTGTGGTAACAGTATATTATTTCATTATACATACAATATAACCTTTGTTTCCAGTTTCCACTGTTCCATTTATAACTGTTTTAATGTTTAAGTTGTATTTTTTATTTTGTTTTTAGCTTTTGTATGCAGGCGAAGGTGAGGCTAGAAGACCTAATGAATCTGGTCCTGAACATCTATCAAGGAGTACAAGTGTTACAAGCACTGTGGATGAGAAGCCTGGTACAATCACACTAAAAGGGCATGAATTTGTTCAAATATCGTTTCACATGCCAACTAATTGCGAAGTATGTCCTAAACCATTGTCAAATGTTTTTAGACCTCCACCAGCGCTAGAGTGTAGAAGTATGTTGAACCACTTAAAATATATCAGCTACAACATTGTGACTTAATACATTTTACTTTACGATAGGCTGCAGAATTAAAGTTCACAAAGAACATCTTGAGCGCAAAGAAGACGCAATTGCACCATGTAAACTGCATAATGATCCGACATCAGCTAAGGAGCTTTTAATACTAGCACCTAGTCGAGATGATCAAAAATTGTGGGTGCAGAGACTGAGTAAAAAAATCCAAAAATGTGGATACAAAGCTAATACTAATCTAGATGGTTCCAAAATATCGCCAAGGTTTATTAAATTGTTTATTTATTCATATTAGGTCATTTGGTATCGCGAATAAAGTTATTGTAAAATAAGCATATTTAATTACTTTACAGGGAATCAACTCGATCTACATTAAAACTTTATTCTGGGAGTTCTGTACATCAAAGATCTGCAACGCTACCATCAAACATTTCCAAATAAATGTACCAATCTAAAAATAATAACTACAGATGTTAAATTGTCTATGCAACAGTTAGTAGTGAGTGTTTAATATTTTTAAGTCAACTGTTATTCAAACAGCAACAGAAAAAATTTAATTTGACGAAATGTGTTTTATTTCCATTTTTATTTTTTTAAATGTTATTTCTTCTTAAAATTATCTATACATATTTACAAATGAATTAAATTTAAATTGTCTTATTAAGGTTCAATCTCCTATCAAGCACCATGTACATATGAAAAAGAGATTGATGGATTACAAGGTATTATATATATATATATAATATTATAAACATATGAACATAAATAATTACAACGAAAATGTTTCACATAATCACAGTTAGGTTTATTGAACACCAATTAGTTCACAGTTTGAGAACCATTTTTTAAATGTGGGTTTCCATCAACTGTTTTTTATTGATTTTTGTAGGTTGTAAGTGTATTATTATTTTCAATATGTTACTCGCAATGACTGATTAATGATTATGTATATATAAAAACCTCTGTATTTTACATTTAATAATTTTGATAGCTGAGAAAATTTGTTGTTTAGTTATATTTAAGAATCAGAATTTGTATTATGTAATAACACATATACATAATTATCGCATACTCATGAATTTTGAATTTGAATTTGAATTTTTTTTTCTTTTTATTGATAAAATTTAATTTCTACATTTTTTAATGGCTTTCTGTATATTAGTTTTTATATTAACGATCATTGGGCTCGTTGTTCAATAATTATTATTTTTTAATGGTGTATTTGTTAAAGTTTAAATCTAAAAATATAACCATTAAAATAACGTAAAGTAAACGTTTTATATGTATCATGTAGAAGTAAGCGTTCATTTTTTAAATATAAAGACGCATGACAGACTGCTAAATGTTTTTTTTTAAATTTTTAACATTTCAAACAATCGATTTTCTCAGAATCAAATCATTGTTTGTATGTGATTGCCAAAGTTTTTATTTAGGAATTCCTTTTTTTTCTTAAACTTTTAGTTGTTTGTCACCATTATATCATATGTTACCCATTGCGTGAAGTATCTTAAGTATTATTATATATAATGTGTATTATGTAATTTATTTTATTGGCATAATATTTAACAATATTTATTTTGTTGTCATTATATTTTTAATGATTTTGTATTTTAATATATTATATTTATACTGAAATTAYAAAAATAAAATACCATAAAGATCAACTGAAGTCCAACAAAATATTATGTTATACATAATTGTGGGCCATGCTGATTTACCGTGTTAGCTGTAATATGGAAACTGATAAATATCACAGATTCTCTTGCTATATACCTCCATACCTAATCTTTGCAATTAGGTAACTCTCAAACAATTGGTTATAAAAAAATAATGTTTATGAGTGTTGAATGTATTAATTTTATCAGTTTAATTTATTATTTAAGTATTTTGAATGTAATTGATTGATGAAAGGTTTGCAAAATTATTTACACGTCTAGTTTAAAAATAATTGTGTTGAAAATATTGTAATGCTAAAATCATCCAGTTGATATTCCAAATTAATATTTTAACACTTAATATTTTATTGTTTTATTTTTTTCTAAAATTGTGTGTTGGCTTTTCTTTCATATTAGAAATATGAGTAAATTAAAGCAATACATTTTTGTAATGTATCATAATATGTTTTATATTTGAGTATATAGTTTTTTTTTGTATTTATATTAAACAACGAAATGGTAAATTAATTGCTCAATCAAATACTACACTAAATTATTTATACGATTTGAAATTATATTTTACTATAGTTGTGATAAACTCCTTGGGTGGTAATCGTAAAATACGCTAGAAAACTTTTCTACTGTTTCTTTTTTTTAGTTTTTGCAAAACCGTTTGTATGATGTATGCTATATTTGACCAAATATTTTAATGTTGTGATATGAAAAAATATTTGGTTATAAAAATCAGTTACAAGTAAAACTAATATTTTCTTCCAACAAGTGAAAACAATATATTATGTTATTTCCATTTATCAAGTAAATCCTAATAGCTAATATATTTCACACTGTTCCTAAACTATTCTATACATAGTACAAAACACACAAAATCTTTAAGCTTTATTTTTWAATATTAAATTTCTTATCATACCAATTTTATCATATTTTACAAAAAAAAAATCTGAATTTAGGACTTTTTGCTCTCATCCAATAACCCACAATAATACATTTCACTTCTTCCTACCCACTTATCAGCCAACCACACATAACATTTAATTTAAATTAATATATTAATAATTATGAATGTATTTTAATTTTGAGATTCAGCGATTATCATTAACTTAAATACTAACTTACCTTAAGTATTCAATTCAAATAATTATAAGTAAATATATATATTCATATATATTCTAACTAAGTACAAATAAATACAAAATAAKGTTAAAACAACTGATACTGGGAGTAAATGTCCTAATAGTGTATTTTGCATTGCTATAATTTTAATAAAATAGAAAAACTAAAGTTATTTCTCTAAAATCAAGTGGTTTATATTATTAGCTGTTATTTTAATAAGCTCAATAAATATATAATCATTAGCTTGAAAAAATTAGATTTAAAAAAATACAAATTGTTATTAATTATTATTGTACTATATAAGCATTTACGTTTATTATTATTAAAAATGTTAAAAGTAAATGCAATTAATGTGCCCTTTGTGTAAAATGAAAAAAAAATGAATTTGAAAGTTTATTTCTTTTTAATTTTTGGTGCATGTKAAATAGTTTGAAATAATTTTAACAATTGGTTGATTTGTTTTAAATTAATATACATATAACTTTGAGATTTGTTGCTTACATTAAAACAGTAACAAAATAACTTTATTATATGTGTACAACATCAATTAATTTATATTTAAATTTGACAAATAAAATATGTATTTATTATAMCAACAATTGATTTATATATTAGTTATATTATTAGCATTGCAATTGTTAAACCTGAAATGTATTTAGCAAAAATAACATTGATATATTATATACTATAACAAATGGAGGTATTCTTACGATAATTTTTGAGTATCCCTATTAAAATAATATACCAATGGCTATGGAATACATTGTTTACTCTGTGATTGTATTATTAAACGTTTTACACAATTTTTTTTTAGTCTAAATTGTATTATATATATATATATATATATATATATTTATTTTTTTTCTTAGTATTTAAACTGTAGCATTTTAAGTAGAAGACTTATACTGTTTTGTAATAATTGAAACAAAATTTTAACTAAACATTATTTTATACAATATTGTTATTTGCGTATAATGCACTTGATGCGCTTTTAATAATAATTTTAAGTATTTTAAGATCTTCATTTGTTGTGTTTACATAATATGTTAACTACATATATTAGACATTAATTATAATATAAATTTAAACTATTATACAATTTGTAATAATTATAAGTATATTTAGCATATGTTATGTGCTTGAGCATACATTAATAATAATATTATAAAATAATCATGATAATAACAAAAGTTTATGGACAATGGAACAAAAAGCAAACATATATGTTTATGTATTAGTATTATTATCAAAATAAACTTAAAATAAACATTTTTTGCTTCAATGTATAAGTTTTTTTGTTAACCATTATGCTCATATAATAATAATAATCTAAAGTTTTTTAATTTTGGAAAAAGTAAAATAATTTCTTTGGACAGTAAATTAAATAGAATGTTATGATATAAATAAAAAATAAAGCAAATTATATTATGTTAATGCTTAAAATTCTAATTAAATTTTGAGCTTGATTTCAGTAGAAAAGAAAGCTTTTAAGACTTATAAATATACAAGAATATTTGTGAAATCTATACATTATTGTAGCAAACTATGCAAATAGTGTAGCTAAGTATTGCAAAATGTATTTATTCGACGAGGTGTCTTGACCACCTGTTGTTGACTCTGRATTTTCAGTTTTAACGCATCTCTTTTCTGAAAAATCATGTCAGCTCATTAGTAATTTATTACATTAATGTTACCGTGATGATTACATTATAACAAATTAATAATAACAATATTCATTTTATAGATGGGCGGATGAAAAGTTGTTGATTTTGACATGATTTTAAATACGAGGAAATAAGTGTTTCAATATAAATATACTGTAATTGATAGGATAATTAGTTAAATATAATTTCTCAAAATATTTAGTTAACTGTTGTGGTGACAAATTATAAAAATCTTGTATAAATATTAACTTATGAGTATTGACACTGTTGCGCAATAATTAAATTTAAAGGTAGGCTGTATAAAGTATTTCAACAGGTTAGGTTCAATTAAATAAATTACAAATGTGTAAAACGTTACAATTAATGGTGCGTTTGTCACCATTCGTCTACATTACCTATGTCTTAACATAGAAAAAAAACAATGCTTGTCATTGTTTATTAAATAGAATTATAAACCTAAAAATTGTATCAAATATATAACGAATTTACATTAGCCAGTTTGTTGTATTGGTTTTTKAGTTGTTCCAAATGTTTCACTCTCTGTCCAAAACCTTGTTGCTCTGTTTGATTCACCAATTTACTAGGTGAACATTTTGTCATGTTTAGATTGTCTTCAAGAAGAGCTCTTTTCCTCTTCAAGTCTTCGTAACGAATTTTGTATACTTCTAGTTGACTTTTCACACTGTCTGTTTGCTCAAGAAGCTTTTGCTTTTTCTCCTTTTTCCTATAAAAATGGTCAAACAATAACAATTATTATGTAATCCTATATTATAAACTATTTGAGCTGGTATAAGATATTTGGGTCATATATTTTAGTATAGATCTTAAAATATGATATTGGAAACAGCCAGTGGCGTCCTCAAGGTGGAGGGAGGTGCTAACGGGCTGAGGCCCCCCCTCCCCCATTGCCTGTATTATTGTTTTTTGTTTTTATATTTACCCCGATTTAATATAGTTAGATTTAAGAAATCATGTGGGGAATTACCCGTTTCCGCCA